GCGGGCAGACAGATAGTGCTGGGGTAATCAGTTGGCTGCCGGTGGCGGAGCCGGCCAGCGCGACGGCAAATGTTAATACATGGTCAGTGTACTCACATGTTCATCTCGGCCTCCAGGAGGCCCTGTCCCGCCTCCATGGCGCGCAGACGGCTGTAACAAGAGGACAGAGAGTCACCGCCACCGGTCAGAGGTCACCAGATCGGTCACGGATCACCAAGCGGGCGACAGTCCACCCAACCCCAGCACTGTCCGGTCAGCTGTCCGACACTCAGGGGTTACATGTCACCGACACATCCGTCCTGCTTGATGGGCCGCCCCAGGACTGCGTCGTCGTTCAAGGGCCATGACAGCAGTGAAACTTTAACGCTCGATAGACGGGGGACGGTTTTAGCGTTGCTGCGAGCCAGAACACGTAACTCAGGCTACTGTGCGCAGCGCCTGGCGCACTTCATGTCTTCAGCTGGCGCGGCGGAAGGCAGCAGACAGCGCGTACTGAGAGGCTGACGAAGCGGAATAATGCCCGCGTCAGTGGGGCTGTGCGATGCACTCAGCTGCTGACGCTTTATGACGTCACCTGCCTCTCAGCGCGGCAGGCAGGGCGGACACAGCGGAGACCAAACACCGCACCGCTGGGTTTCCAGACGCGCAATTTATCCCCCAGACTACCGGAACTCCAACGGGACAGCGTCAGAAACACATGCATGATTTGTAGATGTGGGAGCGGACTCATAACTTTTGAAAGGACATACAGCCCTTTTGACGCCACAGAATGCCGCGACGGTCATTAAGATATCCTTTTTTAAGGTTTAAGAGGGATACTGCTGCGAGTTTCAGCCGAATCTTTTTGTGGAAAGTTGTTCAGTGCATTAGCGAAGAGGCATTATCACATAGATAACGCAAGCAATATTTGCCCTTATTGCTCGGATAAAACCAGGACAATGAGATACAGTTGGGTAATCGAATCAAGTCTTTTTTATCATATCACGCACAATATTTCCTTTCAAGCACTCGGTGCACCAGGTCCGTTGCTGTTCACCAACACACATTTATAACATACCCAACCACCTAACCCACCAACCATCCACCAACGACCCCCCCCCCCCCCCCCCCCGCACTAAGAGGCTGGGCTCCCCAAACCCGTGCTCAAAACAGCGGCCTGTCCTGATGGAGCAGATAGCCAGGGAGACGCGAGAAAAACAGAGAACATCTCGTATACGTCACGATTCAACGTTTCTGGATTGCACGTGAAGATCACTGCAACAGTCAATATTGACACGAAAATGCATTATATCACACTAACGTATACCCCTAAATATAGCGTGAATTTATCACATATTGGTTGAAAAAAACTACTTTTAATTCATTTCAATGTTACCTTCATTAAATTTGCATTGGAAGCTATTAAACTGGAGGTTGTATAGAAGGTATTATAGTGACGTCAAACACTATCCCAAACACTCGCACGGGCACGCGAAAATCCACGGCTCCGCGAGTCTCCGGCTCTTGGGAGGATCTAGCATTGGAGGGAAGGCATATTCTCCGTCGAGGAAACCCGAACTGAACACCGATGGAAACGCACAAAAGGCGGATCAAATCAAAGCATGGATTTCTTTCTAACGATCTACAGAGCGTCACCACGAAATTATGATCTGAATGTAAAGCTAACGCAGAGTTTCTTGTTGTCCGATGAGCAGAAATTTTGGTTTTGTATTTTTGTATCTGTATATGTATTCACCTTTTTCTGGTCTAACTTTGATTTGAGTAAGGTTTTGCCAATGAATAATTTTTACAAAATCATTGAGGTCCTAAAAAACAACATAAAACCGATACATAACTTAGCGCGGTCCTGTCATTGAAGATGCTATTCCGTGCGGGCTATTTTTTTTGGGGGGGGGGGGGAAGAGCTGCGTGCGGGAGCCGTGTTGGGCGATGACGGCGGATGGTGATAGTAAAGATGAGAACGATACATAAATTCAGCTCAGTGTCACAACTGAGAAGAGAATTGTATCAGACTAAACTTCGGTGAGTAAATGTGGCGTTGCCAACTATGTACAGCTGGCTTGCTCTATGAAGAGGAAATAATTTCGCCACTCCTGCTACGTTGACCCCCCAGCTCCGCTCATGCAGCAGCCCCACGTCTCAGGCGGCCGTAGTTTTGTACATAAACTTTGTGGAGAGTGGGCAGACAAATTTTTACGCTCAAATCAATAGTGCAACTCATTTTCTCCCTGATTTTGACCGAATTTCTTCTCAAAGTAGATGGAAAAGTGGCATCCCATTCAACCTGAATAGAAAACTACACCCCTGGTACCAAATTAAGCATACCTAGGTCAGTAAAAGCCTATGTGGGTATCACATTACTCCAGCATCTGTTCCCTAGGCAAAAACAATGGTACCTTGGCTGGAAGGTAGCGGCACTAATTGCTATATCCCAGATGTTCCTACTTATATCATTCTGGCATACATGATAGTTCAATAATACATTTGTCACAATGTGCTCTGGCGAATTATTCAACAGGTGCAAGATATTTTAAGCATTGATCCTTATCATCCTTAATTGAAAGAAACACCTTTACAATCTAATTGTCAATATCAACAATTGTCTGTCTGTCTGTCTCTATCTAGCTATCTATAGCTAGCTAGCTATCTATCTATCTATCTATCTATCTATCTATCTATCTATCTATCTATCTATCTATCTATCTATCTATCTATCTATCTATCTATCTATCTATCTATCTATCTATCTATCTATCTATCTATCTATCTATGAGCTCTATAGCTTCAAAAAGTACAGTAGGTGTGAGCATAAGCTCAGGAAGAAAGCACTTACCTAGAAAGCTAGAAAATTAAAGAATTGCAAGCAGCTAGAGCCAAACCCAAACTTCAGACACTGATCGGAACCCCAACGGGACGTCAGAAACGCGTGTTTGATTTAGATTAAGGAAGCAGACTCATAAATTTTAAACCCATTGACCCACTGAATGCCGCGGTGGTCCGTAAGGTCTCCCTTAAACTTGGACATGACTGAAGGTGGTAGTTAAAGTGGTATTTACACAGTTCTGATTTGTGGCCATTCCATGCTGCGATAACCCATCGGCTACCCTCCAAAGTACATAGAGAGTCCGCTTCAGGATAAACCCGCTACATCCCGCCACGTGCTGGTCTGACAGGCGGGCGGCAGCCCCACACCCGTGTGTTGCCCAGTCATTACCTACATGTGACGAGCGCATCAAACGCACCCAAGGCACTCTAACGGGGCGCGAGGTAAAGGTCGCGACGCCACCCCTGGTGCTGGCCCCCGCCGTGACACGGCGTCGTGGTCCCAAATGTCGCGGCGCAACGACACCCGTGCCGGCGCGGGTCGCCGCCAGCGGTGGCCAGGGCCGTCCCTCCCTTCCTCAACGGCAGTGGCCTTTGCCACCGCGCTTAAAAGCTGGCGACCAGCCGGTCAGCAGCAGAGCCGGTGCGCAGCCGCTGGCGGCAGCATGTGGTCCCTCTGGCTGGTGGCAGCGCTGGCGCTTGCGCCGTGGCCGGCCGGGCCGCCGGCGCTGGTGTGCAGCGCCCCGGAGGCGCGGCCGCAGCCGGAGCCCGAAGCCTGGCCCGGCCCCATAGCCTCGCCCGGTCCTCAGCCTGACCCCAAACTCGGGTGCGTGTCGCCGGCAGCGTCACCGGCACTGCCGTGCTGCCTGCGTGTGTGTGTTTGAGAGGAGGGGGGGGGGGGAGGGGGTATTCGGGCTACATACGGGCATGTACGCAAAATTTGTATAATTACCATCAAATAATTTAGACCGATCATGCTGTATTAAACGTGCTAGTCACCATCCAATAATTCTGTACTGATGAGAAACCAATGCGGTGTGAATGTGACACTCGGTCAACCTGAAAGTGCCGCATGAATCTGTCGGCATGTGTCTCCTTTTGGGAACAGCGTACACGGCTACTAAAAAAAAATATGCGAGGGGTCCGAGTCTCGTGCATATTATCCCACGATATCAAAAGGCGTAAACACGTTCTTCTTTTCAGCCCCGCTCTCCAACTAATCTGGAATTTGTGCAAAGTTCACAAGAAGTGCAGCAGGTGGGTGGAGTACCAAAAATGCAGAGCGTTGGAAAAGGCGGGCAACTTCTTCCGGAGACTGTTCAGAAGGCGCCGGAGGCGTCGCAGGAGGTGTGTCAAATGAACACTTATCGACACTGATGTGTGACACTGCATCACGGACCCAATGGGTTTTCAAACAGACTCCTACTTGCGACGTATTTGACACTCCAGTTTGGACACCTGGACCAAAGTATGCATTGAGAAGCTGGCCTGTGTTGGAATCTGCCAAACGAGTGAACAATTCGGCACGATGAAATATATTATCCCTGACAAGAGCCCGGTGTTTGCAAAATCAACGGCACTTGAATACAAAAAACGACCATCACGAGCCTTCACACATCGCTAGAAGCTATATATGTAACACACTGAGTTGTTTTTTATTTGGGTCTTTAGGCGCGCCGACAACTAGGGCCATTTGGTGCCCATAGCAGTTAAGTGATTACCTTGGTTTGTCAGTGGCTAAAAATCCTAAATTGGTCAAAAATGAAAATGATAGTTCCGCCCTTAATCCTGTTCTATGGAAACACATGGGGCAAAAACGCAAAATGCAATGCCAATAACAACAATAAAATACGAAGCAAGGCGTAGGAGGAGCCAGACGTTAAAATAGCGCCTGGTTGGCCGGTTGAACATCGTTCGCATGGATGGAGGGTCAATTTGGCCCCTCCGCCCTGAGATATAAAAAGCTAAGATAGCCAGAGACTTTTTCAATTCAAATTTTCACACACTTCTTAAAATCACAATTTCACAGGGTAGATTGACTTGTACGTAAAATCACTTGTGTCAAAAGTTGAGCCTCCTGGGCCATGGCCTTGGATTTTTAAAAATCAAACAAGGTCAAATTCCAATTTTCTCTGACGTCTCCCGACTTTCTCATGCAACCGTCGGGGAGCTAGATACTCATTCTGGACACAAGCTCAATGAAGTCAGCAGCTTTGTTTCACCTTTATCAGATCAAGGTCACCAAATCAATACCAGACTGCTCCTATTTTAGTATTAAAAATAGTCTGGGATTACGCTGGGTGGTACGCTTCTCAAAACAAAACGTTGACCGGGATCATTTTAGGTCCGTGACCTACTCTGACCTGAAAAAATTCATGGAACACGTCTGTTGCGATCCCTGTCATTGATAAGTGGGAAGCGAGCAACAGAAACTACCACATCAAACCAAGCTCTCCAGTAAAAAATCAGGTTAGTTTTGACATCCATCTGGTCTTCAAACCTAACCCATGGTCAATGCAATTGGTTGTGATTCTAAATTCAATGGTGTATTGCCTAAAAAACTACCGCATATATGCATGGCGTCGTCTAACACTCCCGTGTTGCATTACGGTGAACGATTCCTTAGAAATGTCCTTTGCTGACAGCCATGACCTGATTTTGATCTGCCAAAGGTCAGCGACCTTCCCAGATACATCTGATTTTTACATTAAAAGATCCCATATTCGATTCTCTACAGCCATACAAAATTTGGCGCGTCGACGCCGCGCCGTTCAGAAATCAGCCTGGAAGAACCTTCGGGGGGGGGGGGAGTCAATCTGAGCCCCCACTTGAGCGCGTTTTGAGAGGCGTCGGAGCATATAGTCATCATCCTGTCGATGATACCAAAAAGCAAATTAATAAAGCCAGACGCCTTGGCAACCGTGATAATAACGGATTTAGTTGATGTGCGAGTCGATCTTTTGTGAAAAACAGCTAAAGGTTCGCCAATGTAACCTTCGCGCCGGTCCACAGGTGGCATTATCTGGCATTGGCGGTTTTTTTAGTCAGGTTGAAATAGCAATTTTAGTGAACACTATCGATGGGTTTCCAATCATTTATAGGTGGGGTACATGTGACCAAGGTACTGAATTTGCGGAGTGTACACCATTCACAACAGGACTACACGCCCGCGCAGCTTTCATATTTCAATATTCCACAGGCACAGGCAGGCCACAGGCCATTTTTGGTGCGTTGCTGGCGCACTTTTGGGTCGGACAGTTTTGGGATCTGCCCGCGGGTTGCAGCCGGTATATTCGCCTATGCCGTGCCCTTGGCTCCGTGCCTTCATCTGCGATGATAGCTGGGATGTGGCACCAAAATCTTGAATGGAGTGTTTCGTCTTTTTGTCCTTCTCACTTCTTGTTACAACAGACACCTTTAATTTGGTCAGCACTACCAGACTTCTCGAAATCCCCCTGAATAGCTCAAAATTTCGACTAGAAGTAGCCAACCCTGCGGGAAAAATTTCATTTCACTCCCTACTCACCAGCATAAAGTAATACATTTCGTTTGCCCTCATTTTCCAACGTGTGTGTTTTGCAATGTTTGCCACATACTTCTGTTTTCAAAAGTTTGTGTAATTAACGTCGTCGTGTAACGTCGGCTACGAAAGCTTGAAACACTTTCAGGCAGACAGATATACATACATGAAACTATCATCCACGAATTCAACAAAATGTTAAACTTTGGCTTTGATTTCTTCCCTATTTCTACAGCCACTCCCCTCCAGACGCACTTTCGCTTCGGGAATGAGAGCATCACATGATCCATGTGACGCACTGGTTCAGATTTTAACCAATGCGCTTCTCGATAACAGGCCCTTGCTCGCTGGGCCAATCACAAATGTTGTGTTATTCGCACCAGTAGGGATGCGCACGGTGGTTGTCAAGACGATTCCCTTTACGGAAGTGTCCACTCAACACTCTTACGCCTCAACACTTAACACTTAAAAGGAGCGTCCCACCTTTCATGCATATTTTAAAAGCATACCAAGTGAAGCCTCAGGACTAGTTACGTCTAATAACAGTAATAATGGGCAGTGCCACTACAACATCGTCAAAACATAATAAGAATCCCAATTTTGATCTTTTCATGTCCAAATTACGCTGTCAACGCCCTGAAACAGCACTACGCCTTTTTTCGGCGACCACCATCGTCATGACAACCAACGTGCGCAACTCTGCCGGTGCGAATAAAAGAACGCTTGTAATTGGCCCAGCGAGCAAGAGCTGAGAACCGCATTGGTTGAAGCTTGAACCAGTGCGTCGCATGGTTCATGTGATACTCTAATCTCCTAAGCCAAAATGCGCCTACAAAAGAGCCACTGTTCTAAACGCCATAGGTGGCGGTGGTGGTGATTTGGTGTTTTATGGCGCGTCGGTATCGGGACCAATTAGCGCCCACTCGATGACGGCGATGTATATTACGCGATGTATGTGCGAATCACTGGTGCTCATACACTGAGGAGTGAATGCAAATAATGTCAAAGTCAATGTGGCTGAAAATTCGGGTATATCTCCAATTTTATTCAGCGCCATCGGGGAGAAATCAAAATCATAATATAACATTTTGTTGAAGTCGCGGGATGACAGCTTCATGTTTGCATACCTTTTTTCCCTTAACAGTGCACCAAGCTTTCGTAGCACTTATCACACAAATATTTTGACAACTTGGCGTGTTGCAAACATAAGAGAACACACCTGTTGGAAGAGGCAAGGCCAACGGAATGTATTACTTTCATACTGGTAAACAGGGACCGGTATTGCTGATCAACTCGTACACGTATGATGTAACAACCAGTCAAAAGTACAAAAAGATGGAATACTCCCTTTCAGAACACTGCAGGGCCGAAAGACACCGTTTACGCACGAAAACGTGGGACGCACATCGACCCATGCTTCTACTTACACGCTTGTCAGTTGTTTCGTCAGTTCGGATATTCGCCCCATGTCGCCGCGACATCGGATGGCCGATGGCTGCACCAGGTTTCTACTGGCGCGAGCAATCGACCGGGAGGTGGACAACGTCAGAAGATACACGGGAATGGCGCCGAATTTCTTTTGCACCCGATTCGATGGTACAAGATTTGGAAAGCTTACTTTTTTCATGTAATCGATCGAGAAAGGTGGCGTGGTGACGTTGCAATGTTGCTGGAATAATAATTCCGACCGAAGCAGTTTGGCGCAAATAGCCAACAACTTAAGGATACAAGGTTCAAAATATTCCACTTATTTGCTGAAAAGCAGTGGTTTGAAGGTGTCGGCTTTAAAAATTGCGCTAGCCGGCGTGGGTAAGGCCATCCACGTTAAAATTGCCTAGCATGTCAAGCGACTTCTTCCTATACATGGCCAACCGCTTGCTGACCCAGCTGGAAGACGATCAGCTCGGATATCTGTCCAGATGATAAAACAGCTTATCAAGATAGCAGCAGGAACCTAGAGCTTCCACCGATTGCCCATGTGCGGGGCCGGTGTCCGCGGTGAGTCTCTTCAAGTCCCTTCAAAACCGCCTCTTTAGAATAGAGGAAACATGATGCATATGCGTCACCCATAACGTCGCATGCATCCCTCGCTCTGTGCATTTTTGTCAACACTTGTCTCTGGATTGTTATGTTTAAATTTTGATCACCGATACCGCTTGGTTAGACAGCGCTCGCGCAAGAAACCGGACGTGCCAAGTTTTTTTTTTTTAAATGCATAGGGAGCCTGACAGCGCCGGGAAGCGGTAAGGTCTCAGGTCCACATGACGCTCTGTCCCTGTGTCTATGACTATTTTCAGGACCATTGACTTTCTGGAAACCTGACTTCCTCGGGAGGCACCAAACTGTTCCACAACCCGTGAATGTCCCTTGGGCAAGCTCTGCTTATGCGAGACTCTAAATCATCTGACGTTCAGGCACGCGGTTCAGGGTACCGCACGGTTCCAGTATGCATCCTATTTGCGTGCAGATTCTCTCCAGCTGGTACCTGTAAGATGCCTTAAGGGGCTACCCTAACACTGAATACCCATACGACTTCTCAGGGATAGGGTGGAGGGGAATCGCCAGGACCGTTGCAATCCCCTGAGAGTATAGCTCCCCTTTGGTCTAAAGGTGAGCTTTCCGGATGCGTACGACGCCTCGCTACCTTGCCAACTGACCTATATAGATACAGGACAGCAATACGCCATTACACTTAAACGGTATGCCACAGGTGATACATGAATGCTGATCCCTGCATACGTTTCAATACACTTGCTGTCTTCGTCTTACTTAGACGGCATAGTGGGTCTAACATAAGCAAATGCCACATCTATAGGGAAGAAATGTCATTTCGAGAATAAGGTAACTTCATGTACCTGCATCTTTGCCACCCAACCTTGCAAACTCCCTGTACTCCTAACCGAACGAGTTGCTTTACGCCGTATCAATTCTAGCAGCTTCTGGCACTGCCAGACTGGCAGTTTCTCTCCGTAGTCGAGAAGCGGCTTCTAAGAGTGAATCCCACACGTCAGCCCCAACAAAGCTATGCACCGC